CGATGTTAGACAGATTTTAAACTGGTGTCAATTTTATTTCAAATCCATAGATGCTGTATAAATAGATTTTTTGGAAGATTTCTTTTTCAGGGATAGATTTAAGAATCACTTTAATGTTATAAATAACTTTTGCAAAACAAATGAAGAATATAAATAAAGTTTTTATTTGTCAATTAAATACTTGAGTTTCTTTTATTTCTGCATTGATAGTAAAGGGTTATAATGTAAAAAAGCAATTAAAGAAATAATTGCAAACTATTTCATAGGCATAAATTTATTTCTGTAAAAATTCTGTAATAAATATCATACTGATTTTTTGTCGACCGGCCTGTGGAGGGATCACAGAACCAACCTTGCATCAGAAAGGTTCTGGGTTCGAATATCAAGGCATAGGTGTTCCTTCATTCTCTGTACTATCTGTCCTTATTGTGGGGACAATGTTGGCCCACCTAATATGGTGCCCCTGAAAGAGTGATCAACAAAATCTGCCCTTCAAATGTCTGTATGAAGAAAAGACATTGGGCATTGAAAAAAAATATTATTATGTTGGAAACACATTCTGGATCAAACTATTTCAAGCCCTAACAATTTATTCAAAAGTATTTGGAGTAAAAATTTAGATTTCGTATTACTATAAAAATGCAACAAGTCACACATCCGCAGTTAAATCCTTAAACTATACAAGTTAATCATTCTGAATTATAACTCTATGAAGGTAAGGTTTTCTCAGAACTGGCATATGGTTTAATTTAAACTGATGTCTGGTTCAGATTATACGGTTAAACCTTGTTTTTACTTCTTTAATTCAGTAAGTAAGTTATTTATTTGCGAGAATTTCTCTGATAAAATCAAGATAATAATCAGTTTGTACCTGAATATTGATTTTATCATTTAATAAACGACAGTAAAAATATCATTTAGATAATCACAATTAATTAATATTTCATAGTTACAAGCATTATAAACAATTAACATAATAAAACTTTAACATAATAAAACATTGACATAAAAAATTAAACAATAAAAAATCGAGTGATAATTGATTTTCGTTTGTTTAATATCTAACAAATATGCAAACTTTTAATAAAAATTCTATTTTAAATCATACATAGCATGTTTTAAACATTTTTTGAATAGCATTTTTTTTAAAAAAATCAATAATACTTCTAGCAAAAAAAGTTTTATTTTTTTAAAAACCAATTTTATTAAATAGCAAATATTGCAGATAATTGTAAAGTAAATTTAAAATAAGCTTTCAGAATAATATTTCCTTCTCAAAGATATAGCGTAGATAAAAAATCCATTGTATTATAGAAAAACTGATTAAAATATTTCTTAACCAGAACTATTATAAGAAAAGTTTAAAAACTATTTGAAAATAATTGAACAAGATTTTGGGAGCAGTTTTTTAAAAAGAAAAGAAAAAACTTTAAGTTCAAAAACACGTTTTATTATTAAAAAAAATAACCAGTTATTTCAATAGTAGTCTTTTACATTCCTGCGAACTTTAAAGTTCCCAATTTCTTCAACCGGATGAATACTTTCCGACCGACCCAACTGAAAATTTAAGCAAGCTTGCTTCAGTTGAAAACTATCGATTACGTTCTAGTCATTTATCATTCTGTCTTTTAGCACTGCAAAGACCTGGTCGATTCAAAGACTAGAATTCGCCTACTTTTTTCTCTTGCTTACTGTTTACTAAGATTTATAAGTTCCACATCTATATTACCCTATCTGGATTATATCTCTTTATATTGACAAAATAAGAATAGATGCAATCTGTAATCTTGTTTTAAGAAAAATTCTGATCCTTAAGACATCATGAAGAAAGTTTTAAAACTTATGGTTTAAGATTTTAGTTTGGTTGTTGATTTTGAGAAGTACATCTTTTTTTTCTGGCATTTTAGTTGGTTCTATTTATTTGAATTTAGCGTAATCATACTATTACGTGGCGTTTGAATATTACGAATGAATTGAATCGCTTTAAGAAAAATTCTGATCCTTGAAACATTGTGCAAAACGTTTTGAAACTTATAGTTTGAGGTTTTTCATTTGGTTGTTGATTTTAAGAAATATATATTTTTTTTATATTTTATTTCATTGCTTTATTTGAATGTCAGATAATCATACAACTACATTGCATTTGAATATTATGAATGAATTGAAAGCATACTACTAGTAAAAAGTGTGTGAGTTATTCATGTATTAAAAATATTAGATATAAGATAAGAAGAAATAAAAGATAAGAAAAATGATTCGTTGAATAATGACTAAAAAATTTCTGAATTATCTTAAAAGAGAACAAAAAAACTAGTAATATTTTAAAGAAAATTAGTGATCAGTAAGAAAAATTTTGCAAAATATTTGCTAGAATAAAATTAATATATTAATGCAAAACTACTGCATCTACTTATTTACTTAAATTACTTTTCTCGTCAAATTTATGTTGCATTAAAATCCGCTTTTAATACAAATCCCTCAATCAATTTTTCCTTTAATCAATTTTGCATTGAAAACTGCCTTTTAATGGTGTCGTAACATCGCCAAATAATTTAAACTTACTCTTCAGTTCAAGTTACTCGGCAATTTTTAAAATGACTTGTACACGGGGTCTTTGAAAAAATAAAAGATAATTTGCTTTTAATGTAAACAATTAGAAATGCATGATATTTCATGCAAAAAAAAGTATACGCTTTCTTTTAAATGAATAGAAATATTCTTGCGTTGGAATGCAAAACTTTATTTAAAACAAAGCTAAGTTTAAAATACATCAAAATGTGAATCTGTACGTTGAATAAGATTTTCCTGGTAATTTAGAAATATCCTAAATTTGAGTTGATTGTGTATAGCTCATTCTATCCATTTTGGACATACATCTGTTCACTTTATGTACATATATTCAACTATATATTACTATATTTTGTAATATATTCTTGAAATTGAGAAGAAAGTTATGTACATTTCTAAATTTGGATATATTGCATACTTTAATAAAGAAGTACATTATTTGCATGTTTAAGTTTGATTACTATAAGACATTTAAAAATTACAGTTGTTTCTTTTTTAGGTAAGGGAATGCGTCATGTATTTATCATTTTTTAAATTTTTTAAAATATTTCTAAGACATTTTTATAATATGTTTGAGTTATTTGGATAAAATAATATTCACATTTCTTGAAAGCAATACTTGAACGGAAACAAAACTTATGTTATTTAAAATCCCAGCAAGTTTAAATTCTATTATGAGAAGTACACAAAGAAAAAGATATATTGAAAACTACAAGAATATGGTAATATTTACTGTGTTTCTGGCTCGTTAGGAACTTCAGAAAACTCGATAAATTTTACCGAAGCATTTTGGTAATGACTTTTCGGTGATATTAACAATAAAATATGCTTTTTGTTACCATGTTGTTTGATTGTAAATGAGGAGAAATTTAGCAATTTTATCATGATACCTTAGAGCATGGCCTAATCTTTTATTTACTTTTACAGTCTTGTATTTTTTACTAAATGTGTGGTAATAAGAAATATTATTTTGGAAGCCAGAATTATTATATAAAGGGAAAAATTACCAAAATGCTCTAAATACCCTCGAATTTGGTTTTAATTTCCAGAATTATGTAGTTGTTTATTTTACTAGAAATCTCATTACCATATAAAGTGGTAATTTTTCCAGATTTGTTTCCTCCATGTACCGATATTATGGTTTAGCGCTGGATCTATTTTTATGAAAGTGCACTTGAAATATTCTAGCAAATAAAGATATAAATTTCTTTTTCTTATTATGGGAGCTTAGAATCTGTATATTTATACGAAAAAAAATAATGATTTTATTTCTATCTCTTTGCTTGTCCAAACAGTAAGTGTTCATTTCTTGTAGTTACGGAAGTTGCCATGATGGTTGATCTTGATAAAATTTTGAATTTATGACCATAATTTGGTTGTGAATTTTTAATTTAAAAATATTCACACGCGATTATTATTAGACAATTATTGCTCTCTAAATGCATATATTATTTTTGAAACTAAGTAATTTAAAGCTAAGGAAACCAATAAAGTGAGTATTTACAGAAATATCGGAACATAAAAATTAAACATCAGCCTTAAAGACTGAGTTTAAATATATTACACCAGAAAAATTATACTTAATTCAGTAAACTTTTTCAGATGTTCGTGAAGAAAACTTTCAAAGAGTTACATCTTACAGTTGTGGATGATTTATGACGTGCATTATTTATCTGATGCAATAAAACATTTTTGAATTATTCTGAATTTTATCTTGCGCACTTCTGTTCGCAAGAGTATTTATTTTATGGAATCTAATCAAGAAGATCTAGTTCTATCTACTCTCCCATCTCAGAAAGTATACTTAAAAGATGGCTTTTGACTGTAAATTTGTTTCAGTAGCACCTGAATCTCACAGGTAGGTACATTAAAATAATATTGCTGGTAAAAATGTAAAATGCATACTTTAGTATTTTATTGGAACCTCATCATAAATTATATTTGGAACTCAGATTCTGATTACATGATCCAAGGGCATAAGAATTCATCAGAATTCTTCAGAAATTTCTTTATGCCACTTTAAATAGCATCTGAAATCGATTGGGTATATTTGATATACGGCAGTAGTCAATGCGCATCGTCGTTTTGATTTTCCTTAGACATTATCTGTTACAAAATATTATTTGAACAATTATTTTTGAATATTTATTTTTGTTTCTAGAGAAATAAATGACCTATTTTTTTTAACATGGCATACTTCTTTTGTATATTAGCTGACTCAATAAATAATAATAACTAGCATAAAACCTTCAATAATTTTAATTCACTAATATCACTTTGTGTATACTTTTTCTTTTATGTTATCAGATTTAAATTGCTTAGATTGAATTTGAACTCCTATTTTAATTTTCGTTAATGCATATTTTTCTTTTTATAAAATGGTTTGTCAAGTTTACTTAATTAATAATATTTATATAGAGCACAGTGCTTACCGGGAGGTGAAGAAGCTGAGCACAACGACAAGAGTCCTGAGGCACGAAGCACTACAGTTACACTTAAAGATCGCAGTACCACTGTCCAACGAGATGTTGCTGATATGCTCTGGACATTGCATAACAGCAGAAAAATCCACATCATGTTCCAAAAGCATGGTATTGAATAAGTCACTAAACATAACGTTCTCCACCCTTCTGACCACTCGTTATCATTTTTCAAGGGGCACATGCGGGAACAAAATTACGAACTTAAATCACAAAATGAAATTGAAAGCCCAAATAAACTCTTCAAAAAGGCCTTCCAATGGCCTTACGGCGACTTTCACGTCATCTATTGTTAATTTTTTAAGCTCCTAATATGAAACAGAATGGTAGAAATCAGTTTAAAACAAAAGAAAAAGTTTTGGAAATAAGTTCTACTAAAGCGCCTCTAAGCAAAGATTCTCACTCCAAAATTAAATGGAGAAGAGGTATGTTGTATATCCTTGCCTCTGGCCTGACTACACAGATTCTAAGTAAATGCCGGTCCGTGATCGGCAGGATACAGAGGCCGGACTATTCGTCGTCCGGAAGGAGGCGCTGTAATCCAGAGACTCGTTCGATAGCCATCCGGCAATCGCAGTAGGTCGGTTAATAGCTTCGAAATGCACGTCTGGCTTTCGCCTTATAAAAACTTTTTCTCTAACTTTTTGAAATCATTATACGCCAGGGAAATTGCGTCTTTCTTTTACAAATTTCGTTAATATTCATTAGAAAGAAATAGCGATAGGGTTTTTGATGTTATGTAGACATAATTTTAAATTTAAGATAAATTCGCATAGACTAGGAATTTATGAATAGAATAAAGATCATGCAGTCACTATTCTTGCGTAGAGGAATTTTATCTTTACTTTATTCTCATTTGTCCTTTTAAATGAGCTAGGTTTATTATTTATTAAGATTTTCTCAACGAATTTTTCGGTAAATACTAAAGAAATGTTTTATTTTATTCCATTTTCTAATCTCTCGGGATTAAACAATTTATCTTCGTCGTGATGTATTTCGAATAAACTTTTTCCTGTTTTATTTCTTATTTTTCTCAGTTAACTACTGTAATTTTTGTGTATTATCTATGTCTGAATTTTTAATTAAAATTATTTTTTGGATCTTTTAAGAAAGTTTAATATTTTTATGATTTCAAAAAATATATATGTCTTATTTTATAACATATAAAAACCACAAAACTTGTCACGTTACTGTTTAAATTATTATCCTTATTTCACATATATAAATCATATTTGTTTCACTTACACTGTTAAACAAATTTTAAAGTTCATTTTTTATCTTTAAATAAAACAGCCAATCTGTTTAAATTTATTTGATATATGTATCCAAACAAAAACGATCAATAATATGCAGTTTTTGTAGTAAAACAGTTTCCAAGCTTCCTGTAAATTTCCAGATGTTTTGCCTCTAGAGCCACGAAACTTAGTAATAATAAATAGTGCTTATAAAATAGTGTTTTAATAAATAGTGTTTTTATTTTTTTTAAAGCAAAGTTGTTGAAATTGTCATTGTCTATTTCCCCACTGTCTGTGAATGCTTCCCACCTTTGTTTGTAAGTTTTTATTATGAAATGCTAAAAAGAGTATAGTCGTCAAGTTCTAAAAATGCGTCGCTGAGAAAAAATAATTACAAAATCTATATTTTCAGCCAAAAATATACAAAAACGATATATTTTCATCTAAATAATTTTATATATAATATATGGAAAATTTTTCAAATCTAATTTTAAATTCGCACAACGTGTAACTATTTAGTAAAACTTTCATGTCAACAGCGTTTGAAAACTGCCTTAGGATGAAAAGGTAACTAACAAATTATGAGGTACAAAATGACAGCAAAAATTTTAATTAACCAGCTGATTTTTTCCCTATTTATATATTTTAACCAGAGAGTACATTCAAGTAGATTAACTTTGCTTAATAGTGTGAAAAATGTGCGATGAATACGAGAAGCTTAAGAATTGACCAGGTATTCTACTATTACATTCACAAATAATTTTCTGTTAGAATGTTTTAAGAAAGATCCAAAGCTGCAACAATGCGTCTGGAACAATGACAATTGTTATTCAGATACCGAACTTAAATAGCAGGCATTAAATATTCCACTCTATAGTCTGGACTATACAAGAAGCATTCTATTAAGAACAATAGAGTCTGGGGGTAATCGTTAATGCACGTATTATTAGCATTTTAGGTATTACCGATGCAATACAGTTACATTATATTAATCATTTTATGTATATAAACGGTTTATTTTTGTTTAATGAGTCCCATGCTTACAAAATACTAAAAGACATATTGCTATTCAACAACATCGCTAACAAGGTAAATTACATGTCCAATATTTACTATTAGCATCCAGTACTTTTTAAAATCTTTGAGGAAAAAAAGAATGAACTTCTCAGTTTCATTTAATAAAAGTAATAATTACAACTAAAGACTGTGGTACAACTAAAGACTGTTACTGTAAAATATTTGGCCGTTAAAAGATTTTATTAACCATTTTAAGAGAATACACAATATCTGTATAGTCTAGTTGTGAAGAAGGGTATGCGCATGTTTGAGGAATAGTTTTAAGTATTATAAATTGAAGGGCGACTGTTTAAATAAAACCAGATATTACTATGCATCTCACATTTTTTTCTCTTTATTTTAAAACATCTTATTCACTCACTGCAGATTCGAAATAAATTTAATTTTTTTTATGAAATGTTACACATAATGAACTTCTTTTCTTATTACTTGTGATTTTAGTAAGTCAAAACCTTTGCTGGAAAGTTCTGTAATTTTTAATGAAAATATAATTCTTAGCTCTTATAAATCTGATTTTTTACTGCGTCTATATCAGATATTAACCATTTTTTATAAAACGATTTTAAAAAATACATTACTAGTTCTAGATAGCTTTACTTTCGCATTAAAAACACCAAATCTGTAAATTAAACTGCATCATAAAAGTCCATAAAAGTAATTAAAGCTCTTTTCCACAAAATGCATTCTACATATGAAAAAAGAATGGATCTATTTTTTATAATTTTTTTATGATTTTATGACTTATTATTTTCAATATTATTACAGTATTAAGCGTATATGAATTGCCAATAATTTTGTCAGCTTTTTATTAAAATATCCTTTTTTATTTTATTAAAGTAATTATATTTTAAATTTTTCTATAATGACATTATATTTTTATTTGCTTTCATAACATAGAAGGTCAAGCACTCCCGTGACATTTGCGCACGGAAAAAAAAGTTCTGGTAAAATTGCCATACTGCATAATAATAACAATTCTAGTAAAAAAAACAGGATTTGATAATACAAGCCAAAATGTACGGTGCTCAAACCATTTATTTGAAAATTTTTTCGTTCATATAGTGACCGTTCACCAGAAATTCTGATTTTCAGAAATATAGTTCTTTTAACAGCACACCATGTTAAAAATAGAAAACTGAAAACTAAATTTAATTGAATAACTGGTTTTATGCCAAGCACAAAGATATCATGATGAAAATTCTAAATTTAACCACATTTCTCATATTTTATCACAGAATATAAAACCATATTTTATTGTTACTTTTACCAAAAATATTACTAAATTTCATCTATAAAATTGCCGAGGTTTCTGGTGTTCCCATAGAGCAAGAAACACGGTAAATTTTATCATATTCCGGTAGCTTTAACTATATTTTTTTTCAGTGTACGCTTGAGAGTTATGGAGTATAAGGCTCCACAATTTTGAAATGAATGGTATGTGATGGCAAAGTTATCTACTTTGCTCACTGGCCACATTTATTTCCCTTATGAAATCTGCAGAGGAGATCAAGTCACTACCAGGGATAAAACCAGTACTTCAATGATAACTCATGATGATAACTAAACATTGAGTCATCGCTTTTCTCCAACATGAAATATAACTAGCAATTCCTTTAAATGATACAAGCAGTATTCCATATAAGATATACTTATTACTGTTGAATCAAATATCTATAAAAATAGCTTACAAATTATTTCCTATATTTTTATTATACCTACCTAGCATATAACGACCAGTTTCTTTCAATGATACAGACATCATCTCAAATAAGAGTTTCTTATAGCAGTTGAAAAAGTTTTCTTCCGTAATATAAAGTAAGACACACATAAATAAAGCAATATCATTACAACCTTTTAACCACACTAACGCGTCTGCTGAAAGAATTTTTTCCTCAAAATGTATCTGTATCTCACAACGTCTTCTGGTTCAGCTATTTTTCTTCTTTTGCCTTTTTTTGGCGACATTATTTGTTAGAGAATGTATAAGGACGGATGGAAAAAACGAAATGAGCACCCGTTTTCGACTTGGCTATTGATCAAATGTGCCGCCCAAGATTCTCCATTGGAAATAAAAATCTTTATCCTGTCATTGATGCTCTCCCATGTGTCTTGAAAGAGATAACTCCAAGAATAGCACACATCCTGGATGCCCAGGATTTTTCCAAGTTGAGTTGCTCTGCTCCAATGCATAATTCATGTGCATATGTAGCCTCAGAGGGATAGGATTTAATGTTTAATTACTGTGCTATATTATCCGGATACAGTACCGGAAAGAATACAGATAGTTGTAAATGAAGGATAGAGATGCTTTCTCAATTATCAAAGCAATTACGGATAGGCATTCTTAATAAATGAATAGGTAGAGAATTATATGTTTGGATTGCTCAAAAGCTCCAATGAACTATTTAGGGATGGTTATCATTTGTTTTAACCGAACTTCGAATTTTTTTTTCTTTAATTACGGAATATTTAAAAGTTTAAGTTTTTAGTTCAGAAATTATTGAGTTGGAAATGAAGCTCTTGGTCCAGATATGTTACATTTTTCTTAAAATGTAATTTCGCTTTAGTGAAAAGTATAGGCGCTTAAAAAACTCTATGATAGATTTTGAATGGGTAGTTCTCGTTCGAGATATTACTGAAGAAAAGAAAAATATCAAATATCTACGATAAAATTACTATAAGGGGATAAAACGTCCCAAGAGGCACTGCATACTAATAGAGCATGTTCGGTTACTACATGTTGTGAAAATAAATTACTAAAATTCGAAAAGTTGTTAAAGGTTAGTTTATGAATACAAATACCACTTTCATACTGGATCTAGTAATTAGAGTCTGAAAGGGGTCACTGAAAGTCTTATTGAAGACAAAACAATTTTTGAAATCATCAAACCATAACAGCCATTATGTTTTTATGCACAGCAGAACCGTTTTCTTTCATATAAAATTTTGTCGTTCGAGGCATCTTTCAACTTGGAAATTGTGTATTCTTCATTGATTTTTCGATCATACACATGTATTGCAATATTTGCTTTACATTCTTTAATTTAAGCAAAGGTGTGCATTATTCATCGCCTTGAAAGTGAGTTTTAGAAACATTGCTTAAAAGGAAGAAACAATTTACACTCTGAAAGTCCCAAAATAATGTTTAAGAGAGAAAAGGCAAAAAGGTTTTTGAATTGCATTGAACATGGACTGAAG